TGCCAAAGGAAGGCCTTGAAGGTGAGGCCAAGAAGAACCTTTGACTTGGTGTGTCGGCAACAAAGAAGTGAGCTTCCTTAGCACTAGAGCTCGAACGGACAGCCGGAAGTCTTCGGAATGACGGGAACGGACGACAAAGTTCACTTCACGGGTTGCAACTCCACTTTCCTGTTCCTGGACTCCCGAAATTGCGACCCGTACCGCCCGCCGTGGCAAGCGCAGGGCTTGGGCAACCCAGGAGGTCACGAAGGATGAATCCGACCCAGTGTCCAGGAGAGCTCGGACTTCGATCATTTCTCCAGACGGCGCCTCCAACTTGACACGGGCTGTAGCTAACAGTGCAACTGAGCGAGACACCGTTAGGGCAAGAGCGTTTGCAGTTGAAGGACCTTGATCGGAAGATAAGCCAGCGGTGTCACCAGACGTTGATGCCTTTTGTACCATCTTTGTTGGAGACGGGCTCGATGTCATTGCATCATGCAGCAGAGTGTGGTGTCGTCGACTGCAGGCCAAGCATTTCTGCGAGGAAGGACACTTCTGCTGCTCGTGTCCAGTGTTCAGGCAGTTGTAGCAAACACCCAGTTCTTCTGCGCGTCCCTTGCGTTTGGCCGGAGATAATGTTTTAAACTTTGTACAATATCCTAGTCCATGATTGCCAGAACAAGAGGGGCATTTCCGGGAAGCCGTATTTTTCGTTGTGTGGAAAGTCGATGCAGACTTCTTAACGGCGGTACCCCCTTTAATTTTAGACTTGCCGTCGTTGCTGGGAGTAGCCTGAGCAGCAGGGTCTGTCATCTGAGCGGCATCCAACGCCTGGATGCGGTTTTCCAGGAACTTAGACAGCTCATAGAATGATGGTATCTCCCTAGAATTCACCAAGGAAGTTTCCCAGGCCAGGTGAGTAACTTTGTCCAATTTTTGGGTTAATAGGTAGACGAACCATTCATCCCAGGCTGTGACTGGTTTCTTCAAGGTAGTATATGCTCGAATCGTTTGTCGAAATGTATCGAGCAGTCGTTTTAATTCCGAAGCCGATTGTTGTTTTGCAGGTGGGCAGGCGAGGAGAGCACGATGATGCGAAAATGATAATAAGCGTAAATTTCCGTATCGTATCTCTAAATCCTCCCAAGCTCCACGGTAACCAGCCTCCGTAATGGGGGTATTTTGAATCACTTCCGCCGTGCACTGAAACGCCAGGGTTCGGACGCCATAAAATCCTTTGCCAATCCGCATCTGCCTGGTGTACCTTTATTTGACGAAACATTTTAATAATGTCAGTAGTAAAAGCTATACGAAATAGACGCCAGCGAGTCAGAATGAGCCATAAGTCTGTTTGCATTTTAGGTCCAGTTGCCAAGCAATCATTCAGGGAGTATCCTGAAGCGGTCCGGAACGACGCGTTGAAGACTACCCGAATCTTCGCAGTGGGATCGTGCTTCTTCACAACAGCGTGATGAGGTAAATAGTACGCCGGATGCTGGGGATCCGGTTCCGATGCAACCTGCATATGATTCAAGGTTAGATACTCCTTCATAAAGTTACCATAGCTTTCCTTCAAGCTGTCATTTGACGCAAGCCGACGTTCACAGTTTAACATTAATTTTAGAGCTGTCGACTTGGAAGGTTTGAGTGTGGCAACTGGATCTCGGATGAATGGTAAGCAAACAATATACCGACCGTTTGAATCCCGGGAATGGGTTTCCTGGAAATGCCTCTCGCACCTCTCCTCTTCCTCGGATAGTGGGGTTGGCTCCCTCACCTCCTCCACTTCCCAGAACCGTTGGAGAAGCTTGGTGACGGAGTCCTCCGTCTGAGTGTGAAAGCTACGAGCTGTCCCAGTTACCAAAGAGTTGTCTAAGGAAGTGGTCCCCATTAACACCCAGCCGAAAGGGGTGAGTTTAGCGACAGGCGATCCTTCGGGTCCCACACGAGTTCCCTCCTGGAAAAGGCTCCCGCACACATCGGCTCCAAGGATAAGATCCACACGAGATGGCACTCCAAAGTCTGGGTCTGCCAAAGGAAGGCCTTGAAGGTGAGGCCAAGAAGAGCCTTTGACTTGGTGTGTCGGCAACAAAGAAGTGAGCCTCCTTAGCACTAGAGCTCGAACGGACAGCCGGAAGTCTTCGGAGTGACGGGAACGCACGACAAAGTTCACTTCACGGGTTGCAACTCCACTTTCCTGTTCCTGGACTCCCGAAATTGCGACCCGTACCGCCCGCCGTGGCAAGCGCAGGGCTTGGGCAACCCAGGAGGTCACGAAGGATGAATCCGACCCAGTGTCCAGGAGAGCTCGGACTTCGATCATTTCTCCAGACGGCGCCTCCAACTTGACACGGGCTGTAGCTAACAGTGCAACTGAGCGAGACACCGTTAGGGCAAGAGCGTTTGCAGTTGAAGGACCTTGATCGGAAGATAAGCCAGCGGTGTCACCAGACGTTGATGCCTTTTGTACCATCTTTGTTGGAGACGGGCTCGATGTCATTGCATCATGCAGCAGAGTGTGGTGTCGTCGACTGCAGGCCAAGCATTTCTGCGAGGAAGGACACTTCTGCTGCTCGTGTCCAGTGTTCAGGCAGTTGTAGCAAACACCCAGTTCTTCTGCGCGTCCCTTGCGTTTGGCCGGAGATAATGTTTTAAACTTTGTACAATATCCTAGTCCATGATTGCCAGAACAAGAGGGGCATTTCCGGGAAGCCGTATTTTTCGTTGTGTGGAAAGTCGATGCAGACTTCTTAACGGCGGTACCCCCTTTAATTTTAGACTTGCCGTCGTTGCTGGGAGTAGCCTGAGCAGCAGGGTCTGTCATCTGAGCGGCATCCAACGCCTGGATGCGGTTTTCCAGGAACTTAGACAGCTCATAGAATGATGGTATCTCCCTAGAATTCACCAAGGAAGTTTCCCAGGCCAGGTGAGTAACTTTGTCCAATTTTTGGGTTAATAGGTAGACGAACCATTCATCCCAGGCTGTGACTGGTTTCTTCAAGGTAGTATATGCTCGAATCGTTTGTCGAAATGTATCGAGCAGTCGTTTTAATTCCGAAGCCGATTGTTGTTTTGCAGGTGGGCAGGCGAGGAGAGCACGATGATGCGAAAATGATAATAAGCGTAAATTTCCGTATCGTATCTCTAAATCCTCCCAAGCTCCACGGTAACCAGCCTCCGTAATGGGGGTATTTTGAATCACTTCCGCCGCACTTCCGGTCAAACTTGACTTCAGATAGAGGAGTTTTTTAACATCCGATAAGTGGGGTACGTCATGTACCAGGCTCTTAAATAAGTCGCGGAAGCTTTCCCACTGTAGGGGGTCACCGGAGAAGGTCGGAAGATCAATTTTTGGCAGCTGTGGCTGCGCTGCAATCTGCTCGACCTCAGAGCGTAGCGAAGGAGTTCGATCCGCGAGCTGCTGCGCTATCATTGCCGACGTGTTTAAATAGGCCTCCTCTATCGTGGTAAAAACATCTTGTTGTACATAAGAACTTGCTGCGGCTTCTTTGCATCGCATCAAAGCTCGATGCCCGGAAAAGAAGGAGCTCCAGTAGCGGTCAAGGAGACCCATTCGCTGCTCCAATACGGCGCGAGTTATTTTATCCTTCCCCAGTTTGCAAAGGTTGCTCCAGAACCGCTGGATCCAGCCGGCGAGTTCTTCCTGTTCACGTAGGAGGTCGGAGAATGAGGCGGTGTTCGGCATGATGAGATTTTTTTTTTTTTTGAAGTTCTCACTTAAGTATAATTTTTAAAAAATTTCAGATGCAGCTGTTGAAACCACCGATAGTTGTCACCGAATTTGGATCGACTTCTAGAAGTATCAGCTGTCGCAAGTTTATAAACACTGACTGGTCGGCCGACACCGAAACGACAACAAGTGACGTCACAGCACGAGTACGAAAGAGAAAAGAAGCGAGGCAACGCGAGCGAATTGAGTTTAGCAGAACCGAAGAAGCGGAAAACACACTCCACTTTTCGAAAAGGCACTCACTAGTTCTCCAGCACAACACTAGTCACTTCCACTCAAGGCACGAAGGAACGCGTTCGTTTCTCGCATCCGGCTCGAAGGACCAAATGTTCGGGGAATTTGTTCGATAGAGAAATCTCGAATTCAAATTGTCTGCCCGAAATGAAAATTTTGCCGGTCTGCACGAACGAAGCTACTCGTTATTCGTTTGTAAGGGTTGGAAGACTGAAAGAGTGTTTTAAAGAGAGATTTAAATGTATT